TGCAATTTCACGACGTCTAATCCAGCTGTCCGCTGCCCTCCTGCTTCCTCATTCTCTCGTACCTGGACACTGAAGGTGGTGGTGTTCGCTCAATCGATAGCCGTACTTTCTTAGTCGCTTGTGCTGCAAGGTATGAACGCAGCCTTATCCTTATTTCCAATCTATGAGAACCGCCGTACAGGAAGACCGACTTATGTCGCCCTTCTTTGTGATAGAAAAATTAGGTGAAGTCACCAGAAGTCATTTGACTTCTGTGATAGAAAAACTAGGTGAAGTCACCAGAAGTCATTTGATTATCACATTCAACTTATAGAAATTAAAGGAGTTGGGAGTATCTTTAAAAGGACTGCGGCATAGTACTGCTGTAATTGCGAATGTAACGGCCCTGATAGTACCACAATTGCGTATATTTATTTACTGCGTTTATAGAGGCGCATAACCCACTATGAGTAACCTTACCTGATCAAATTATAGCTACTTCCAGGCATTCCTTATCCGGTCTTTCCACCAAACGGGCGTACTATTCGTGTTGCACGGGTCGATATCGCAGCTCGTCTTATTTACCCTTTCTTCTACGTCTATGTGAATCCCGAATTGCGTTCTGTAAGAATTTTTTGTTGTTCTTGAAGTGCCAATCTATCACACTCTTTCGCCCAGGTGATTCAAGTAAAACAACTGATTGGTTCAATGTTTGGTGATGGTCAACGGGCAGCGGTGGCATCCCGATTAGTGCTGGAACGAGATGCGCAAACGAATGGTTTAGTATTGCTTGACTCACCAGCTACGAACTTCGCCGAGTTGCTTCAGCAGTGCTTTTCGGGAGTGCCACTGGTAAGCTTTTACAAGAAATCTCTGGAGAACTGGAAATGTAAAGTATGTTTGATTTGTTATTTCTATAGGTATATTGCGATAGTGGCTCAAAAGGCGATTCCGTTGCCGAAGTTGACGAAGATAGAAAGAAACCGCTGAACGAAAGCATAATGTTTGCTGTCCTGGATCGAAAGAAATTTGCTCAAGTCTTATTGGTGGAGTTGCCCCCGCAAGGTTCGTTTTACAAAATGCATCTGTTCAATTATCGCTCTTCAAACGGGATGCAGGGAACGAGTTGTTGTTCACGATAGTTAGGAGCGGGTGATTTCACAGCGCCTACTTGAAGACAGTCCCGTGCTCGAGGAACTCAGGCCCCCCCCTTGTACAGGCAGTCTGACCCTCAGGCTCCGAGAATATCCCTTTTCGCAGCTTCTTGGTATGTGGACGAAGGCGCTGTGGGCCTCATAATTAGCATCCCTTACGCCCCTCTGGTTGTCCCGCCCACTAAAACTTAAGGGGTATTTTCTGTCACAAGTTCAGTTTCACACCACGTCTTACGTTTTTTTTTCGTTGTTAGATGGTTTTTATACTGAATGACGCGAGGAAACGAGCTAGAAGTGGCAGGATAGCACCTTGCTGGCATATAACGAGCAGCCCCGGTGAACTCGTCGAGAAAGGCTACCGGGTTTTTACTTGGAGTGTTCTCCACGGTTTTTTTTCGCTTCCTACTTCCCTGGATAGTTATTTAGCGACTATAGGTTGTAAATGAATGCCACTATCACCCCATATCACCCCATATATATTTCGCTTTGTCTGTTTGTTTGTTTGTTTGTTTGTTTGTTTGTTGTAAGTTTGTAAGTTTGTAAGTTTGTAAGTTTGTCTGTCCGGAAATTCGGTTCGACCTGAAGAACGACTTGGAGAGGTCCAGTCAAGGTGGGGATAGGTAGGGCATGGGACAAGAAATAAAAAGCACACTTGACCTATGGAAGCCCACAGTGGGCGGGGCACTCGCCGAAAGTTTGGGGTTCCGCAGAAAAATGTTCATAATTCGCTTCCGGAGCAGCTTAAAGATGGGGAAAAAGGGACTAAGGTTAGTAAGGAGTCGCCAGACTAACTGTGGCAGGTACACCCTAAATGGGCGGGGCGTACTCAAGGTGGGCGGTGCTTCTCGCAAAATTCAGTAACCCGGTTCGCGAGAGTGTTTGGAAGTCGCAAAAAACTCAGTGTAGAATGTAAATATCCGGCGAATATAGGGCACGCTCAAAGTGTGTTGAGTGGGCGGAGCTTGCCCTAAATCGCAGGGTATTCATTTTAAAAGTTTGTAGCTCGGTTCCAGAACACTCCAGATACCGGAAAAAAGTGGATTAAGTTCAGCAGAGGGTCGTCGGTTAAGATTGTGGGGCAAAAAAATTGTGGGCGGAGCCTGCTCCGAGGTGGGCGGAGCCAGACAAAAGGTCTGTAAAACGGTTCCAGAACACTCCAGATACCGGAAAAAAAGTGGATTAAGTCAGCAGAGGGTCGTCGGTGAAGAATGTGGGGCACAAAAATTGTGGGCGGGGCCAGCCCGAGGTGGGCGGAGCCAGACGAAAATTCTCTAAAACTGTCCCAGAGCACTTCAAAGACCGGAAAAAACGTGGATTAAGGTCAGCAGAGGGTCGCCGGTGAGGATTGTGGGGCACAAACATTGTGGGCGGGGCCTGCTCCGAGGTGGGCGGAGTCAGACGAAGAATCTGTAAAATAGCTCAAGAGTACTTCAGACACCGGAAAAAAGTGGAGTACAGAACAAAAGGCGGATATCAGTTGAGTCTAGAAATATGTGAAAGAAAATACGCGCGGCGAAGCCGCGCTCGCCCGGCGCAGCCGGGCCGTATCAGAAGGAGGCGCGCCGGCGTTAGCCGGCGAGCCGACTGGTCCTTAATATGCAATTGCGGATTCGTTTTTAAAAGGTTGTCAGAACAAAAAATTGGAAAAAGAATGCCTTCGAAAACGAAGCTTCGTAGAATTCTCATGGGAGCCTAGGGGCTTTGTTAGAGGCATTGACGACGGGTTTTTTCTCTCTCCACCATTGTCTTGTTGACTTCTTGGTATCCCTACTTGAGCTACACTGCCCAGCAAATCTGATCGGAGGTTTTGTCGTTAAAACCAAAGATATATACACGGAGGAGTAGCGGAGAATTAGGCGCAGCTCGGCTTGGTGGGCTAGATAGTATTTGGCTGTGCTTGTACAGGTCACATTATGAAGACTTGTAAACTCCTCTGACCTAAGTCGTCCACTCGAACAAATTTGCAGCTTCACAGGCGTTAACAGGTCTCACCAGCAGGTTTACAGGGGAGATCTGTTACCTGAACTGACAAAAATGACTGGCGAGAGTGCTGGATCTCCTTCATGGACGAACAGGGCCGAAAATTATAGAAGTGATTCTGTGTTGCAGATACTAGTTTGGAGTTTCAATTTTAGTGTTACCCTGTGTTCTTCTTGAAATACGTGATGTGCCAATGTTTTTTTTCTCTGTAATGCTTCAAGTATTGCAGAAGAAATAACTCGTGCACAAGCGGCAAGTCATGCTTACTCAAGGCCTGCTTGGGCAGACGTTATGTCGACAAGTCAGACGGTGGTAAGTAATTATCTCGTTCTTGTTTCATGTCAAATTCCACCCAAAGTTTATCATGTAGCATGTTGAATGCAAACTGTTATGGTGTACTATGTTATTGTTTCCAGCCGAAAAGCCCTTCTTCATCGACTGCTCCATCTGCTCCAGCAACACCAGCAAGTGGAGCGAGCCGTTCGTCGTCTCGTGGAAGCAGTGTGACTGGAAAGGATAGCATTGATGAGCTTGAAGGCAGTTGCTGTCAAAATACTCCGCAAGTTTGTTCTTTGTTAACTTCGAACGTCACGTTTTTCATAACATTGTCACTTAACATCTGTAGAACCGATTTCATTAGCTTCAGATGTCTCCAAATGTTTCTGATGTCGACGAGGGCATTGATGACTCGTATTCCTCTGTGAGTATACTTTAGCAAAAATTATTTATTGGTCATAAAACGTGAACTCTAGAATTTGAACTGGTTTGAATAGCAGGTTTCCAGCATCAAGCCTTCAAAGCCTAATTGGTACTATTCTGGCTCTTTTTAGATATTTGAACAGGTTCGCTTTCATAAGGGTCGGCAGGCTGCGCTCCCATCTATTAGGTTGACCGGAAAGTTTCCCGCCACGTGTTTGATCGCACCATATTAGCCTTGCATGTATGTTTATGACTTATCGTGGGGTGTGCATGAAGCACGCAAGAGACTCTTTCACATCACTACCTCACACTCACCCAGCTTGCATTTGGATTCCAAAATGCCGCCCAAGTTTCAACCCGACAGGATGCACCTGAGGCACTGTCTTCTTTTCCTTCATCAGTCTGGCTTAAACGCAAAGGAAGCCCAAGCCAAGATAGTGGATACATATGGCGCTGACGCTATCTCTTACGACACGTGCAAGACCTGGATGGCCAAGTTCAAGAAAGGAGATTTTTCTCTCCAAGATGCTCCAAGGTCCGGCCGGCCGATGGAGTTAGACTTGAAGTTGCTGCAATCCACCGTGGAAGAGGATCCGTACGCCACTACCAGGGAACTTGCAGCGATGCTCGGCCATGCCCAATCAACTGTTGAATCTGGGCTGGAGAAGATTGGTAAAGTCGCAAAGCTTGGCCGTTGGATTCCTCACCAATTCAATGGCGGGAAACTTTCCGGTTAACCTAATACTTTCATTAAGGCGGTGTTCATCATACTTCGTGTCAGCGTACAGCAGCGTTTTCGCGGGCAGTTTTCTCAAGCCCGAATCGCCTGCGGAACCGCTGGCGTACGTTTGCACACGCTAGTGTTCGGTAGGTCGACATCTATACTTTCCTAGTCGCTGGTGTACATTCGAAAGGCTGCCGTACGTTGACGCAATGTATGAACGCCTATTTAGCAAGTTCGTGGGAAGGGTACTCATACCTACAAATTTCTGAATTAAAGAAACCTGGTACTTTGAGAGTTGTGTAACTAACCTGGTAATTTGATGAGGAAAGTAAGGTGGAATAAGACCGTTGACCAGTTCCTAGCGTTAGCCCAAGCGGAGAATTGATGAAGTCGTTCCGTCTCTACCAGGCCACATCGTTGTTGGGGAATCCCCAACAGGGGTGGGGGGGGGTGGAGTCATATTTGGTCGTCGGGACGGGAGAGGGGGTCGTATTCGGGCTGAGAAAAAACATTTTGATAGTTGATTTTTCTCGTTTCACGAACGTTGTGAAAGGTGGAGGTCGTAATTGCTCGTTGTTGAAAGAGGGGGGAGGGTCATTTTGCTTGCTGGCCTTCTGGAAGAGGTGGTTGACTTTTCGTGATTTTCCTGTTTCATCTGTACTATATACCCCGCTCGACTCGACTACAATCCCCAACCAATGATGTGCCTTGCTCTAGCCCTTCTGCAATATTCCAGCCCGCACTAGCTGCGAATAAAGCCTCACTTTCGCGATACATTCTTCTGAAGCATATCCACAGTTTTACTGGTCGTCTACAACTGAGTTCTCGTTGACATTTTCCCCACCATCAGAATAGCTTCAGAAAAGGAAATTCTGCTCGTTAAAGGCAAGCGACACAATCATTCGAAATGTGTTGGGTGAACACGTGGAGCACTAAAGCGTATTATGTCACTGAATATGTGCTGCGTGGCCCTTTTTCCAACCGAAGGCGTCGTTACAGCGCTTTACCAAGGTACAACATGCTACCCGGACGCCTATCGCAACCGCCCCGCCCACAAATGGCCGCATAGCCCCATCGATGATGATACCATCATCGCTTCATTTGCGAAGTACAATTTATATGGAGCGGTTGCGGTGCTACACGGAAATATGAATACATGCATGCCTCCTTATCTGCCTGAGTAGTTGACGACACGATGCCAACGGGGAATTCGTTCAAAATTGTTTCTTTCAGATGTATACTCGTCCAAGGTCGTCCACAATATACGATCTTCCGGAGGTTTTTAACAGTTACTTCGCTTTTTCGTCGTTATCCCACCATGTGACACCCCTACTACCTTTTGAGACCGAGTATCACATACTCGTCTTTGTCCAGCCAGTTGAAGTGCTTGTCTCAACCTGCTGTGTCTACTGTACTTGTTGAAGCTGGAGATTGTAGTGTTCCTTTCATTGAGATTTGTTACAAATATTAATTATTCAGAGACCGTGTTATGGTACGATAAGGCCTTTAATATTCCCTTGCGTTCACTCTCTTATTGCAGTCCTTTGCGAGCTTCGTGAAGGGAAGCGATGCCGAGGAATTGCTCGAATCCCACGTTGGGCCACGATCTATGACCGAATCATCCGACGTAACCCCTGTAGCTATGGTGACTCCTAGTACTGATTTGAGCCGCAGTATTGTGGAGCTTTCTTCTTCGACAGGAAATCGTGAGTTAAAGTAAAGTCGTAAAAAATGACATGAGATCCCACTGATCCTATTCGACGATACGGCTCATATGGTCTAATTCACAGCGGACGAAGGGGCGTGTCAGCGGGATGAGTTTGACGCGGCGTCAAGTCCGTTCTCCACCATTTCTTAAAGCGAGCAAGCGACAAAAGGGTTCGTATCACTCGTTTTCTACCAATGTTTGTCGCATACCCGCTTCAGCAACTGGCAGAGAACGGGTTTGGCGCCGTGGTACTCTCATTGCCTGACACTTCCCTTCATCCGCATCGAACTGTTGTACACTCTAGTTCGTTGCACGGTTGGGCGTGTCAGGCAGTATGAGTGTGTCAGCCGTCAAAGCCGTTCTCTGCCTTCTTGTTGAAGCGCGCATGCGACAAAAAGTGGTAGAAAACGAGTAATACGAACGATATGATACAGTCATATCACTTGCTCGCTTTAACAACTGGTGGAGAACGGGTTTGGCACCGCGCCAAACTCATCCCGCCTGACACGCCCAACCGTCCGCAGCGAACTACATAATATAACAACGGCTGTTTCAGTTCTGTATCTTGATATCGATTCTCGGTTACCCTTCGGAAAGTTGAAGAGTTGGTTGGGGCAGAAGCTATCCATAGATCCAACGCAATTCGTTCTCATAAAACATTATAGGGTGAGCTTACCAAGTCTGTCAGTTAGTTCAATTTTGTTTCATTTTTTTACTGTTAGGAAGATGACAAAGGCTACGAATGCAACAACAAGGATGAGGAGAACGTTCGAAGCGCTCTTGATAACGTTTTCAAGGTAAGTGCTCCATCACGGGAACATTCGAACCCCCTATAAATATTTGTTTTAGCTTGGTATCAAGCTGAGGCCTCCACTGAAAGACGACGAGAAGCTCATTCGTATAGTGCAGTTTGATTTGGAAGAACCTAACGTTGGTTTTCACTTTCTCTTGAGCCTTGCGAACGGTACTAATTACTAGTTTGCTCTGAGACTAGTTTATAAATTAAGACCTTGACGACATTATGAACAAAAGGTGGCTCACTGTTTCTTACTCAAAACTCTCATCACGATTATGATATTTGCGTTTGTTGCCGGGGCCACATGGCGCCAGTAAGCGCCAATCTGGCATCTATCAGCACCAATCTACATACAACATCAAAAAGGCATCTTTTTTTCCAGAACATCGAAATGAATTTCTGAATCACTTACTTTGTATCATTATTATGAAGCCTTTCCTTCTTACTCCGACGCCGTTTGATGCCCATAGGCGCTAGTTTTTCACCACTATCTTGCTTGGATTATCGTGAGCGACGAGCAAGACTCTGTATCGTGGAATTAACAATTTTACAAAGTGGGCGGAGCCCGTCATAGTGCGGCCTCGCCCACTTTGTGAAATGCTGCTCAGGATGGCTTAAAGAGCTGAAAATAGTGGAAAAATCAAGAGCTAAGTCCTTTGAGATGGTCGTGGCTAAGTGGGTGGAGCCTAGTGTAGGTACTGGTGTGTTTGTTTGCAAGAACATCCAATATTTCAAGATAGAGTTTAAAGCGGCAACGTTGGGAAATTTGTAAAGTTCAAAGTTTTCAGTAAAACTGTTACAAAGTTTGTGGTATCGATTGGGTTCGGTCTGGGCGTATTGGTCTGTTGTATAGTGGAAAAAAAATGTATAAAAGCCAGGGAAACAGAAGTTGCAGTTTGAAATTTGAAAAATCACGATTGCGCTGAAAGGTTAGCGTGGCAGTGGAACGCAGGGCTTGAAATGTTGTCTACGAGAATGGTGACTGAGAATGGTAGAAAGGGCTCTCCGTACGAGATTGCTCAATAATTTCGCGAAGAATCACAGAGCGCCAAAAAAGTATTCCACGAGGGACACTATGAGCCACCGGTGACGCACAACTGACGCAAGCAAAGAACGCCACTGTCTCACGCGTCGCTTTCCAGCCAAATGCGATTGTCTCCAACGTGTTATTATCACAAACGATCTGTTTCAGAGAGAGAACTGGAAAGTTCTGTTCGAATGCCCAGCGTCGAAGCAGACGTCTATTGGAGACTTGACATTGCAATGCATTTACCTTTATGCCGAGATATATGGACAGCGACTGGCATTGAACCAGTACGAAACTACTTCTTATCCATTATGGTTCACTTTCTAATGCGGTATTTCAGGGTTCGACTACGAGAAATGCCGTCATTCAGTCGACCGATGAAAGCCGTTTTAAATCCTAATGATACTCTAGATTGCCGTGGAGCTCAGTGGTCAAACAATATTTACTTCCAGATCATATCCGGTATCATTCCTTTACATTTGACGGTGTTGACTACAGCGATTTCCCTAGAACCCTAGATCTGAACTTTTTGAGGGTCATGTCACAGTGCCCAAATGATATGGGTTCCCCTGCTTTGGAGGGGTGAAATGTGTTTTACGGCTGCGGAAAGGCAACAATGGGTGCTTACTATTAGTCGTTGTGTGGTTCCTTTTGGAAGGGAATAGCATTTGGCGCTGCCATCACACGTATGATCATACGCACACGTCTGAAAGTCCTGCCTAGGCCATCTGGTGTTTCTTTGTAATATTCAAACACAATTTTGAGATATTTTAATTCGAAATTTTCCCACTGACTTGCTGTTTTACAGACGAGCGTCTAATCGGTAAACCAGGTGTCCCCTTGCTGGTTCGTAGGTTCTGGCCATCTACCGTTGAAGTTTCGAGTATTCATGAAGTTCTCGTCGATCCGAAAGCTGCAAATCAAATGAGTTCATTTGCTCAAAGTGTCTCTTCGTTGTCAGGCGTCTCCGTGGATAAACTTGTTTTTACAGAGGTGCGTTTACTTTTTCCTTGGTCAGCGATTGCCAAACATACTAGTTTTACCCTTTCAAGATTGGGAGTTCTTGGGAGAAATGGCCATTTGCACTAAGCCGATTGGCAATGCTGGACGGAGCTGTCAAATTTTCTGCCCAGCCTTCGTACGCACCTAACGAAGTTATTGAGCGCATAGGTGGCAGAGTTGTCTATTACAAGTGAGTTGGTACTACAATGAATGTAAGAATTTTACATTTGGCACTATTTACCCTTTGCTACCCTAATATTCCAGAATGAGGGCGGTTTTGACCGACTTTTTCCTCCAAGGGCAGACTTGGCCAAAAAGCTGTACCCTGGGGTAGCTTGACCTCCTGAACACGAGCTTGGACACGATCGTATCTGTTTAGCCCGGAAATTACTGGAAATCCTGAATCACCGACATTGCTGAAAATATGTCCTTGTGGGTAGTTTCTCCTGCCGAACATTGACATCACATCTGTGTCGCTTGTCTACACCCTTTTCCCAAAATAGCGATCCCTTCTGTGTACAGGCTGAACCTCAGTCAAGGGGAAGTATCTCTACCACAGGCAACTGGGAAGATTGCTGCTTTTTCCTACTGTCCCCTAAATGCCCTAGCACAGCGCTCGTCACCAAAACTAACTGCAGCCCTGTGCTACACGCTGCGGAACAAGTGATCTTGTGACGGTGTCAGGCGTTTTAGGACGTAGCTGTTGCGATATTTGCGGTTAGTCGATCAAACTACCGCTGGGAACAAGTTTTTAGCAGTTCGGTGATCCAGGGTATTTTGTCGCCGGTACCTGTTGTACGGGCGAAAACAGGATTGAGGCTAAGGGGATGTGATACAGGTCAAACTACCCCTGGAGGCAACTTTTTAGCAAAAACTGTCCACGGAGAAAAAAGTCGTTCAAAACCTGGCCTGTTTTCGGATGAGTGGGGCAGTAAAGGGTAATAGTGCCTTTCATTTTTTAGTTCCCGTTTCTATTTTAGGACAGAAATTCTTTGTGTTTAGTAGAGTAGTATTCAAAGCTTTCATCAAAGTCTCAGTATCATTCGTTTTATTTGCTCTGCTTTGTTCAAAAAACTTCTTTTGATGGAGTGCTTACACTCCAGTTCGCTGCGGACGTTTGGGCGTGTCAGGCAGTATGAATGTGCACCCACTCAAAGCCGTTCTCTGCCTTCTTGTTGAAGCGCGCATGCGACAGAAAGTGGTAGAAAACGAGTAATACGGCCGGTGGAGAACGGGTTTGGCACCGCGCTAAACTCATCCCGCCTGGAACGCCCAACAGTCTGCAGCGAACTATGTACACTATAGCTGCGATTTTCAAATTTCTCTGCTTTGAACCATTGTGAGCATGTTTATAACCGCCAGATGTTTTCAGAGATGCCACTGAAATACCAAAGGAGCTGTCAATTGAGGATAGGAAACAAATTCAAATCAAGGAAAATGGGCAAAGTATGACAGCAGTTGCACGCAGGAAAGAGCGACCTTTACGTATTCAAATGAGTAGTATCAGCGAACCATGAAACATTCCCCAGTCATGGCGCTACCAGATTTCTACAAATTTGGTATTGTATCGAGTTTGGGTATTTATCATTACTGAGTTGTTGCCTTTGCTGTGACAGGTCATCAGCGCGTACGCGTGGCCCTCACGGTTTTTACCTCGATAAGAGAGCCATGTGCCATCTGCTGAATGTACATGTGGTCATTGGGTCATGCTTCTTTTTTTTGTGGAACACGCAATAATTTTCAAATTCTATTGAATAATCATAAAAAATCGAATGATTCTGCTTTTCACTTCATTGTCGTATAGCATTCGGTTACAACTCACCGCTTAGGGGATGGAATTGTGTCAAGGGTGTCACGTACGAAAAAAATGCGAACTGGTGTGCATTCTTCTGTGTTAAATTGTGAATTTTTTTGTGCCAATTGAAGTGATTGTCTTTAGCTACTGTACTCATTGAAGTTGTAGATTATAGCGTTGCATTCATTCAGATTTGTTACAGATAATTAATATTAATAACTCAGAGACCGTGTTATAACTTTCTTTTGCTCGTCACAAGTGTGTTTTTGAGGATTTCTTCGAACTCGATGAAGCTTTTCTATGTTGATTGTGGTATAATTCTCAATGGTATCTAGTTATACCACCCTATGTTACTTTTCTACCATTATGGCTAGCGCGTGCTGTCACCCGCCCCTAATCTTGAACTTCGGTGAATGGAAGTACGTTATGGAACAACAGATCCTACAGATACTCCTAAAACCTTTCTTTTCAATCGCTGCTTCTTTGTAAATGTTTGTATGCGAACGGTACCTTGATGCCTTACACCAGTACTAAGGAAGCAGTACAGTTAGCCGCTAAAGAGTCCAGCGGTTGTATGAGTGAAGCGTCCTGTTCGCCAAGTAAATCCCTTCCTCTAGAGCGTCCTACTTATGTCAGCACAGGGCACAGCGAGAGAAAAGCACAGCACAGCTAGGGGGTCGTAGCTTGGCCGCTGAGAAGCGGGTCTCAATGCTGTCGAAAAACGAACAAACCCTGGGCAAGACTGAGAGATCCCCTAAGCAGTGGGGCCCTTAGACGACCTGTCATGATCCTCAAATTTAGTGAACAAGAAGATAACTTCAGTATTACCCTCATGTACCGTAACCCAAAGTGGACGCCTTATAAATGAGAATTCCTTCTCGTCGTGGGCGTTAAAAATTCACGGACATTGATACTATGTCGATATTTCCTTTTGTAAGTGGAAGAAAAAGGATGTGTATTTCGGGATGTCGTTATGAGGATTTCGATGTGAGGATAGGCCTGATCTATCTTTCTATTACCATTGCCTCAAGCACTTTGACGGTGCTGCACGCTTGATGCTAACTAATGTGGGATAGAGACGGCTTTCCAAGGTCGCTGTAGTAAACAATAAATGGTATTACGGTCAGGGCACAGCATTGGTTGGGGAATCCCCATAGGGGGGGGTCGTATTTGGCCGCCAGGAGAGGGGGGGGGTCGTAATGAGTGCGGTAGCCAGTATCGAGCAGCGCAAAGGTGTCAGTGTGCTGAATCCTGTGTAGCGGAACTTGCTTCGTAGAGAACTCGGATATGTAAAAAATGAGTACAAAACTTTCATCCATCAAACTAATCCGAAATAATTGGAATTATTAATAAGTCGACAACATCTCGTAAGTGATTAAACACTACAACTCATACTCTGGTTTGCTGCGGATGATGGGGCGTGTCCGCGATCACGCTTGGCGCTGAGCCAACCTGTTTTTTTTCTGACAAACGACAGGACTACCATATCGTTCGTACCAGACGTTTTCCAGCACTTGGTCTCCTTTATCGGAATCAGCAACTATCGGAGCACAGATCTGGCGGCGTCGACACGGACACGCTACATCATCCGCAAGGGAAAACACTGTAGACAAGTGCACAGGTTCGCCATGGACCTCCCTGAATCCTACAGACACATTTGCGGCAGCTGTGGGGACCACACTTTATGCACAAGTTGCACCATCCCATCACTTCTGCGCGGACCTCAGTGCGCGGCGCATCCAGAGTTGGCGTGATCAGCTCTGAACGAACCATATTCTGCTCCTGCTCCACCACAGGATACGTTCTACATGCGTTCCTGGCTATTCGAACACGCTCACTTGAAACGGTGCACAGGAAAACGGGTTTCTTTACACAGCAGTCTCGTAGTACTTCCACAACCAAATCTCCCCAACCGCCAGATCTCATTGAATTCTCGAGCGACTTCCCATAATCAAGTTCTAATATCACAGGTTTTATGAAAGAAGCACAGTCTTCATTACCTCGAATCCGTTCTCAGATTGTGAAATATTGAGTTACAAAAAAAATATATTGATTCAAACCTGTTTCCAAAAAAAAAATCCCCAACGAATCCCCAAGGCAATTTCTCTGTGATTTTTGCGACCTTCATGAAGATTTTAGCACTTTTAGGAAGATCAAACCTTCCTCTACACGAATACGCTTTCCCCTTCCCCATAGGTCTGCTTTTGAGGAAGTTATGGTCCTTCAAAGACACCCTACTTGCCGAAAATTTGTTTCCCACGGTTGGTCCTGCACAGAATTCCCTTCCCCCGGCACCTCGGCGCCGATTCAAAAAACAGGTGCGCGCGGGAAAGTTATTCAAAGAGGTTACCTCGGCTCCGTTTAGACAGCAGATGTTATTTATGAATACCACCAATCACGCCGTGCAATTGCGTACTCACTGCCGCTACCGTTACCACGTCTGATGTACCATGTTTTACCGTGATGATACTTCCGTAATCGTTAAATTAAGCATAAAGCAAATACATGGCTTGTGATTGTGCGAGGAGAAGTGCAAGATTCATTTTTTTTCAAGTGTGTGTTCTTTAATTTGGCGTTAATACACTGCGTGCTTTTTACTCCAGACCCTTTGCTAGTAGAGATGCACTTCCTCAAGTCAAACGAGACCTTCCCTACAGTTGTTATTAGACGTGTTAATCAAAAATCATCACCCTTCCAACGTGGTTGTTTCCTGGTCAAAATGCGTTCTATCACTTACGTTGCAAACGGTCGACATCAGGGACGGCCAGGCAGGCTGAGGAGTCAAGGTCATGTGCTCCGCTCCGAACGCGCTGACGAAGGCATCCGTCATGTGTGCATGCGGGTTAGCACATGGGATGCGGGACCTATGTCGTGAATTGTGCAGTGTTCATAACTTGCGAAAAGCTTGGCAAATAGTTGAAGCATGCCTTCCCAGTTCGCCGCAACCATCTAATGCTGCTCGGCCGTTGGCAGTGGTCCGTAACTCGTCCTCTCGTTGCAACTTCATGAGTAAATTGATTTGTTGTGACAAATGAAACTACGACCACCAGCCAGAAAGCTAGGAGTAGTTGTTACAAATAAGTATGACTAAGCGGGCAACAATTTAGTTGTAGATAGGGGTTGCCCATTCCTAAGAGTTTCTACAGTTCTATGCTCTCCTGCGTTCTCAATTGGCATGACGATATCTGAGTCGCGCGTTACGTAGAACGGTTTGACAGCGCTATGTACGCCCGTACGATGTACGTCGCATGCCTACTACATACCCCCCGCTCGACAACTTTTTCGCCGAGTATAAACACCAAACCACGACCGAACAAAACAGTCAGCCATGTCAGCCATCGTACGAGCATGGGTCGGGGTCATACCCAGCCCTATGATCAAAAGATAGTGGGGGCGGTTCGTAACTCGATCCAAAATCCCCATCGAATGGCATGTGCCTAATTATACTGGTCGACTTAATTAGGCCTACATCGACCTCGACAAGGATGGAATACGGTCGGGTTACCAGCATGTATGGTTGGTGCATTTCCACAGACACGACTTTTTCAACCTGAATAATTTTATTATCCAAAAACTATTACAAATTATGAAAATCATTCCTCCGATATGTAAACAATCAAATTACTGTAGAACAATTTTAGGAGAGCCAAATTCGAACAGACTCGCCTGACAGCGCCGCACAGTCTCCTCGTAACACTTGTCAAGCATATGACGTAAATTATGTCAAGAACTTGTCATCCACCAAACGTTGTCTACAAGAGTATACCGCTACTGCCAGTCACGACCCTGACCTAAAGTTTCTTTTCAGCACTAGTAACCAAGTCGTGCTTATATTCGAGACCGAGGATTATCTCTTCAATCTAACCGATCTGTAGCGACTCCGCCGAACTGTATTGCACGCAGAACTGAGTCCCCAACTTTCTCACGGGCACTTGTCACTCGAAAAACCTCTCCTCTCTTTTATATATTTCTTCCTCCCTTTCTTCTCTTCCTTCTTCCTGCATCCCATCCTCCTCTTTACTTTCCTCCCCTGCAACTACTGGAACTGGTAGTACTGCCTGTGAAAATAACCCTGGACCCTTTTGCGAGCTCCGACCGAGCACGTCTGAGTGACAACTCCATCCCCGTAACCGAAGCAGTTCCTGAACTTTGTCTGCCCCAACGGCCGCCAAATCGGTACCGTCTCCGAAAAATGCCACGGTCAGTGATCCAGAATCCACTACTTTTTACGCTTGGTTGTTATAGCGGCATCTTTCGCTTCTGCAACACTACGCATGCAGTGAAGTTACATGGAATAAGTTGTGAAAGCACTTGCACTGGTCGGGGGGTGGGAAAATAATTCTCTGGTTCTTTTAGTAAGCTAAAGTAAATCGCCTCTTCTATCATCTCTTGTATTCTTTCCAATGCATATCAATTACAGTAAAATCGTGCGAGGCGCCTATTGGAATTTCCTTATGCGCTGCCGCATATGCAGAGGTTCTCCTCTATATCGATGAAATAAAGTGAATTCATAAGCGAAATGGCTTGCTTGATTCCCGTCGCCCCGTCAACGCTGCAGTCTACGAAAGCAATTTCCTGCACAATTCTCAGTCAGTTTGGTACTGGCCTCGTATAAGTTGCGTTCGTTATACGTACTTCCCTGTGGGCGTTACAATCAACTTGGCGCCGCTTGGTGTTTACGGTACATGCCCTGCCCGGTAATACTGAATTTAGTTTCTTGTG